GGTTGAAACGAGGCGCGTCACTACACAAGCGTTATTATGAATGGATTAAACTTGGAAGATTATTTGAGTAAAGATCTTGGTCCGTATCCACGAAGAGAACTCGGTCTGGCCAGACGATCATTTTTTATTAATTGGACTAAAGCTCTTCAGCGTGATGCTACTGTGCGGCGGATTCAGGAAGCTCATAGGCTGTTTCCTCCTAATATATACATGCGGAATTATTTGGACTATCCTTTTCGAGATGACAACATTTATGATTCGATGCCTATCATGATCAAGAGTGAAGACCATTTCGGCATTGACCATGCTCGTGGCCCGGTAACCGAAGGTCGTATTCGACGCCGGAAATCGATTCAGGCATATTCCGGCTTTCTGCAAAGAAAGACTTCCTTGCCACCGACGAAACACTTTGCTTTTGATAACCATGAAATTTTACAGAATAACATATTTTATATGTGCGACAATTGTTCTCACAAATCAGTGCAGGAAGAAAAAGCGAGGCTACATCTACAATCCTCCGGTCACACCTCGTGCAGTGAGTGCTGTTACAGAACAGGCAGTGATGAAGATGACAATCACTCTATCGTAATCACTGGTCCGAGGATAATTCAACATGATACTAAATCTGTTTACGGATGGGACAAAAAACATATTGCTGTGGTTTGTCCGATATGCAGTCTCATATTACCTGACTGGGTGAGAATGTTTTCTTTTTTTGAAGGATCTGTTTAGCTTGCTTATTTCCGATGCAACTAAGGTCATGCAGATATGAGTAAATCTTGTGCATCCGAATTATTGTTCAGTTCAGTTCATTTCTACAACTATGAACCATGCGCTATCGTGCGCCAGTTTTGGATGCTGTCCTTTAGCTGTCCATTTGGATGAACATTAGAAGAAAAACAGGAAAGGTTGAAAGTAGAATCATGAAGAAAATTTAGAATTTCGGTGGACTAATATTAAAGTGAAATTGACAAGATGCAAGAACGCCACTGTTTACGACACCCAGTAATATCACTCAGTGTCTCCAACCATCGGGTATGATCATTCCGATGTCCCCATCCAATGAGCCTAACGGGACCTATATGACGCAGCCTCCGGTTAGGGTTTTCATACCCTCATGACAGGTCTTGGCTTGACCACCCTTGGCTTTTTTCGAACCACTACCAGCCTCGGAGAACATCGCCCGCCGTGGCATCTATATGGTGACATGGGTAACATGTCCCAACCAACGTAATCTATAGAGGTTGACCACTAGCTCCAGTTGGCGACCGCAGTTACCTAAAATTCCGCACCGAACCTCAGCAGTGATCGTCTGGCTGTCTCACCAGTTTGGTGCAATGCTGCGTAGACAGTGGTGTTCAAGCACCGACAGTTTATTTGTTATCCTGTTTTTCTATTGGCCACGTTTCTGCGCCGTATAGCAGAACTGGTCGGACTGCCGCGGCATACACTGGACTCTCGACAGACAACCGGATGTCGCGACGGCGCCACAGATGTTTCAAGTTGGCAACTGCCCAACGATCCTTCTGTATGCGAGCAGACACTTCATCCGTGATGCGTCCACTGGGTGAGATGTAGCTGCCCAGATAACAAGCTTATCCACCTGCTCTATTAATTCCCCAGTTAGAGTGAAGCTGGGTGCTGGACCAACCCAGTCTCGAAGTAACATTTTACACAAAACGCATGCCGAACATGGCTACACTAGCATTCAAGTTATCCAAAAAAGCTTGCAACTTAACTTCACTCAGCAGCACAATATCGTCTGCATATCCTAGGTCAGGCAGCCTGCCACTTGGGAGTAAATCGATGCCACAAGGATGGGGCTGTTCCATAATCAAATCTATAACAAAGTTAAATAAAATAGGAGAGTGAGGGCAACCCTGACGAACGCCACTTTCCGTAGTGAAATCTGGCGAAAAATTGCTGTAAGCTCGGCTTCGGTTATTAGTATAAAGGGGTGTTAGTATTGAAATTAACTTCAGAGAAAGGCAGCGCCAGAGTTTCGAGCGGTTGACAGAGTTGAAAGCCGCTTTCATATCCATCTTTCCACTTTTTTATTTATCTCAACCCACTTACCCCCATTTTTGTTATCGTTATTGTTGTTGTGGCGTTGGCACCATGCTTGTCTACAAGCTGGTATATATATATATATATATATTCAGATCCATGAAGACAGATGCTGGGTCTACGAAAAGAATGTCGATGCTCCGGAGTTTGGCGAAGAGTGGAGATTTCGATACAATCTCGACCAGGTCTAAAGCCAGCCTGATTTTCACGCGTACACCGTTCACGTGCGGCAGACAATCGACGGAGTATGATGCCAGCGAAAAGTTTAGAGACGATGTTCATTAAACTACTCCCTCTGAGGTTTTCACACAAGGATCTGTCGCCTTTCTTGTAATTCGGTATGATCACCGATTCACACCGTTCAGCTGGAACCTCTTCCCTTTCACATATTGAACCCAGGAGTTTCGTTAACTCCAAAACCAAAACTGAAACCCATCCTTATACCCTGATGGGAACAGCCCATTTGGACCGGGGGCCTTATGCTTTTTGAGATAACTTATTTCCCGAGAAACTTCCATTTCAAATGCAGGACTGGCATCAACTGGGGGTATTTGCCCAGTCGAGATGGAGGGTGATAGTTGAGATTTCAAAGGGGGCCAGTTAAACAGCCTCGAAGTGTTCAACCCATTGATCATGACGGCTTGCTGATCGTGGATCAGTGTGTCATTAGATGTCATAGTCACCTCACTTACGCCTGTTTTCCTAGGGCCCGTACTCCTAATTAGATGGAAAAGGTTACGACTATTACCAATAGCCGCAGCTTTCTCCATCTTTTTACACTTTTCTACCCACCACTTCTTGCGGTCATTCCTCAGACTCTTGATGAGCTGGCGTTTAAAGGATTTGCGCGCTGTGTCATATGTGGCATCCGGAGGAAGGGTTCTGCGGGCGTCCAGCAGGGCAACCGAGGTCGACGATATCCATCGTTTGTGCTTTGAGCTTGGGGCAGGGTCCGACGTTGTTTTTATCGATATCTGCACAGCTTCCTTGATTTGCTTCCAGTGTTCATTGGATCCTTCGGCTAGCGATTGAACTGACAGGCGATCGGAGAGCTCCGCTTCGAAGGTCCATTTGCATGAATCGCTGACACTGTATCGTGGATATCCGTTGGCGGCTTTTTTGCGGTTGCTTGGTCTCACTACTATCACGTGATAGTAGTGAGACCATGATAGAAAGGCATGTCAATTGACACTGACAACATCACTTCGGTGCACTCATGAGTGGTGGTGTAGGTTAATAATTTTTCATATTAAGAAAACACTAGCAAACGAAGCTTGTTTTCTATAACTTCCTCCTCGTGCTAATGCGGTTATTTAGGATTCAAAATTATCAAACTTGTGTGATGTGATGAATCTGATTGAATAATTGTGATCTTGTGATGTGTAGTTTGAAAATGAGAAGGCTGTTTTTTCGTTGTTATGTAGTTCGGAAATGTTCACCCATGGTCGCAGACCGGGAATGGAACAGCTCACTCTATTCACCGACTGTGAACATTTCCGAACCACACAACAACAATAAAAACTCTGCTCTTTCGTTTCAAAAGCACACATCACAAGATCACAGTGAAACAATCATATTCGTCACATTAGACCATCAACACTAGTTTGACAATTTTGAACCCTATATATAACGGTATTAGCCCGAGGCGGAAGTTATTAAAAACAAGCTTTGTTCGCCTCTTTTAAATCTTGTTATTACACACCTAAGTGTGATGAACAGCAGACGGGTCGACCTCATTAGTCAAAAGGACCTGCTGTTCTGTAGTGGAAACCGGCAACCCAAGCCCCGGGGCTTCAAATGGTCAACCACATAAGTATATTATAATTATATTTCACATTTGCCTGAGGACAGACTGTGTGCCCAACAAATCATGGTACAATAATCTTTATTTAAAAAAATTTTCCATGATCGGCTTTTGGGCTGAGTACTGCCAGGTTGCCCAGGCAAAGGCAGGTGAATTTTCTTGAGGAATCCAAAACGGGAGCCTTCGGCTAGCCAAAGCCTGACCCGTAAGGCAGCGGGGCGGTGTGTGAAAACCGCAACCCATTGGGATCCGGTGTCCAGTTCACCGGATCATACGCCCTTCGGACGGGGTCAGACGTCCAAGGTGCCCAGTGCACCTCAATGCCCAATCGAGCCGGTGACCACTGCCACAACCGAAAAGGTGTGGGTGTGGTTCGTACGCCTCCTCATGGTTGGTTTTGAANTTTGAATCAGGGTGTTTTGGCCAACTCCCCCAGGTAAACTGCCAGTGGTCCACCAACCCGGCTATAGCCCCGGATATCGGCTTTTCGTTCTCACTTTGGTGGGAAAACACCTCCGCCGCGAGAAGGCAATGAGTAGGGCTTCCTCAGCAGAGACTGTTTGAGAAGCTTGGTCGTGTGGGAGCATTTCGTGAGGTGCAAGGGCAGGGTGACCAGCCGCAACTCTAGACACCCACCCCCGACCATACTGGGGCTCTGGAGGCACATAAGGCCTCAATAGGTTAGGCCGCAGTGTTTTCTTAATATCATGATGGGAATATTCAATGATTTTTTCATACACTTACTAGCCCTCGTTCAGACTCTCGGAAAGCCTCAGCTCATCCGTTCATTCTGTTTGTCCAATTGACCTTTCATGCGATTTTAGAACAAAAATTAATGATGCTACCTGTGGTGGTGTGAAAATGTTTTACAAGGGCCCAATCCCAGTCGGCGAGCAGCCGAAAATGAATCAAAACAACCCGAACTACGTGAATTAGTTTTCATCAGTGCTCATGTCCATCGTAAACCTCAAAATGAATTCACATTGATAACATAGAATTGTGAGATGGCGATTCCGTTTTATCCGTTCAACTACAACCATTTATGATTTTGTCGCAGCTCGTTTTCTCTCTCTCTCTTGAATTCTACATAGCTTATCCATATTCATCTATACGTTCTCCCTCCCTCCGTATGCAGCTGATTTGCGGCTATCACCATCAAATTCATCATCCTGGGCATCGCGCTCAATGCTCCTATGGGATCGTACACGAAGTCCGCGAATTGGTTCTCCATCGACATCCGTTTTGCTCAAGGTGCAATTCTCATTTTCGCACTCAGAATGCATTTATTGATCACTGGTACAAACCAAACACTTCCTGTCCTTCCCCTTTTCTCCTCACGCGTTTCAACGAGGATACGCATGACGTAAACGAAGTACCTCCGGACCACATCATTGAAATCCGCTGCGGTACGTGTGGTGTACACATCGATCGTGTCACACCGGTGTTTACGAATGGGCACTACGCATTGCCGAAAACGCTAAGACGCAAACGCAAGCGCATCGGTAATGGCCATATAATCACATATCCTACTGTTTTTGAACAGTTCCGGGATTTTCTGCACTCCTGGTCCCGACTTTGTGTCAATCACGCTTATCTACACATGGATGGAAATCGTTCTGGTTGCTCGTCTGAATGCACATTAATGATCCGCTTCGTGATTATCGATAAATCCAAAGTGATCACAGTGCCGTCATTTGTAAATGAATCTGATGATCTGCTGTTACAATTCTGTCTGGAAGAATGTCAACGTCTATTTAATTATTTAAAACTGTTCCGCACAGGAAGGAAAGCGTTGCTACGTCAAACTAAACTAACTTTGAAAGAATTGTGTGAAATGACAAAAATGGATTCCAGTTTTTGTAAAATTAACCCATCGTGTTGCAAGAAATCGCCCACAACGGATCCCATACCATCAACTTCCAAACAGAATCAACCCACTCCATTTTTTATGTCATAGTTTGTGATTTGTATAGCATACTGTCAGAACCTCTCTTTTGTTTAGTACATAATTCTTTTTCTGTTTCACCCATTTTTGCACATGCACTCCACTTTTTATTGTTTATTTGTACAGTGTAATTTATGAAGTGTATGGGTATATTTTCTTTGTGCTTTTTTCTCCGGGATATAATCTTGAAGTACACTTTCATTGTGTATACTAGTGGGTACAATTGACTTCATTCACCATACCTTTTCGAATCTACGAACCTTACAGTGCTTTCCAAAGTTATAGGGACAATCGATATTTACCCCCCAATTTCGTCTCTTTCAAGTTTTTAAGTTCATTTTTGATACGGCGAATTAGGAAGAACTTATTATGAATTTGGGGAATGTAAGTTATTCCATATA